GTGATAGAAAAAATGAATATTATTTTCAAAATCTGTGAAGCTGGATGATGGAAAATACATTATTAAAAACCATTACAACCTTTATGAAGTTTAAATTCGCAGGTCTGCGTTATTAATGTCAAGATTGTCTGCCCACTAAATCTAACAGTCTGCTCGAATAACTTTAAACGTTACGAGTACATTATGGACTAAAGTCTTCTTTCTGTGCTATGTTTACTGTTTATATTAGCGAGATAAGACATTTCTAAGCATTTGTGCAATGTGAGAAACAAACAGGTGTTGAGTTTGTCGTGATTTGTTTAAGCTACTATAGAACATTTAATCTGTAATATCTTTATGTCCGTGCACCTTGTTAGTGAAACTTCACAGCTATTCGAGTGCTCACAGGAAAATCCTTAAACACTGTCGCAGGTATAGCAGGCAGGGAATATTTCGATAAAATTACTTAATATTTTCGTATAATAGGCCAGCTTATCGTAACAGGATTCGATAATGCTGTCTCAAACACTGTTGATTCTCTGCAGTTGTCATTATGAAATCCAAACGCCCTGTTGTCGACTTCAGTATACGTGTAAAACAGTACATCTCAGTTACATCCGTTTATCAATACACGTGCCGCTGCTGAATGGATTTTGTGCGCACACAAAAAAAAAAATGTGTGTTTGTGAAGAATCAAATTCTATACATTCTTCTTCTCATTGTTTCTTTTAGTTCTCCTATTACATTCTAGCGACTTGAGATAACGGATTCAGCGCAGCATCTTGTACAACTATTATGTAGCAATCGGAAGTAGAACATGTCTGTTCGAGTCAGAACGGAAGTATACTTAACTAGCGAGACTGAGCTGCGAAATTACAATGTTACAATCGTTATCTCAACAACGTCTTCTTTATCTCATGACACTATGAAATAGTAAGAAACATTTCTAGCATTCTTTAGTATTATGTAACACCAGACTTCGTGATTAGGGGGGTGTTTCGTACGTATTTTTCTGAGTTCACTATTTCTGAAGTTAATATAAAAGAAATAAAAGATATGTTGGGCATGTCTGCTGTTTATAGTCCGTTACCAGTTTGTTTTCGAGGACCACAGTATTAGATGTGTTGAACAATTTGCCTTGACTTGCAAATATTGTAATTATTGTAATATTATTACAGTCCGTCTATTTTTTTTTCTGATTGCTACACCAATGTAAAGAAACCGCTCTATTTATAAAGCGTTATTGGCAACAGCAATGGGTTTATACCTGTTTAACGGTCAGTTTCGTATGGTCTACATGTAAGTGAATGCGTTGGAATTGAATATTTTTACTCTTAGTAGAATAGGCTTTGGAACGTATTATTTAATCCACACAGCTTGATCCAGAAAGAAATGCTGTCACCCATATTATTTACACAGCTAGTTTGTGGTATTCTAGCTTTTCGTTTTTTGTTTTTTGTTTGATTACTGGTTAAGTAAATTCTCACTGAAATCCTAGCAGAGTCGTAGTTCATTATGAAGTTTAATGATTGTGTAAATTAAAAAGTGTCAGTAAAAATACTTTACCATTTGAAGTGTAAAATGAGTTTCATCATGAGTTAAAGAAACTAGGATTTTTTTCTTTCCGGCTGTTTACAAAAGCCGAATGTAAGAAAAACCCAAATTCATGTTTTAAAGAGCAACTGCGCTGTCGTAATAAGTGCTTAGCATATTTCACAGTCAGGTGAGTCCCCCGGAGGGTCAGCGGTAAGTTTACGGAATTACAGAGCTAAAATCCTGTGTTTGATTCCCTGCGATGGACAGAGCGCAAATAGCCCATCAGTTTGCGCTAGAAAACAACAGACAGGCGAAGCTGTGATGAATTCTTTCTTTGTAGCGCCATCTAGGGAAACTTTTCCTAAATACACTAACTGATGTCCTTTGGCGTTATTCACTTCCGCATATTAGACAAACTAGCTTAAAAACTAAAAATAGGAACACGCTTTTTAAGACATCGGAACGAGTTTGAAATTCCAAATTAAAATATATTGGCCTTAGTTGTGGTCAAGAAAAAAATATGTTGCTTTCATAGCAAACGAACCGGAAGAATATACATTTTTTTATTTTTTCACGTAGAAACTATAACAATATATGCGATATTGTTACCACAATACAAGATTTGTGTAAAGTCGTATGTTCCAAGTATTTCAGTTCCAATCAAACGTGGCGTTTATTCTCTCACTAAAGTGTTGGTAGTATATAAAATGTCGACAGTCACAAGTTAACCTATTTTTCTTTTCTCGTTTACATCACGAAGACATTAGCACCTTGTCCTTTGTTGAGTGGGTGCAACAGCCTGATCCAAAGGACCGCTTGTTTAATTATGACGTCATCGTCAAGAGTTTCCTATCGAGGGATAAAACACCTTTACTATATACTCCTTTTAGGACTAAGGATTATGACAGATAAAAGAGATTTACAACGGTAGTAATCTCTGTCAAGCTAAATACATACTATTCACTCGCGAATTTAATGATCCCATTCTTTTTTTCACGTAGAACTTTGCTATTTATTCCTTGCTGTGTTAGATAAAGCGAGTCTATATTTATTGTACTTCAGAGTCAGGCTTAACTTTATCGCGAGGTTGTATATACAATTTGATAGTCAAGGTTGTTATTCTTTGAACTGTTTGTTATAAGTGTTCAAAATTCAGTTTATATCGCACAACAACTTCTTAGTGTCAACCTTTATACATACAGACTTTTTAAGAACAGATTTATTGTTGTCTACGCTTAAGAAGTAACTTGTATTTTCAACGTTTTTGTACCTTAAAAAGGTTAAAGGTAAACAGTAATTTTTGAACTACCGTCGATCATTAGGTGTGGATTTTTGGTTCAAAGCCACGTAATGGGCTATATTTGTTCTCTCCACTGCGGGGAGTCGAACCCCCTATTTTAGTACTGTAACTCTGTAAATTTACAGCTAACCACCGGGGACAGTATGTTTGGTATTTTAACCTGGTTGCTACAAATTAGTAACTAAGGAGCTTTATATATATATATTACAAATTATATAATCTTGTAAATCGGTCGTCTATTTGTGACTGGCCCACTTAATTCGTGTTTTTCAAAGTTAATGTTATATAATGTAAAGATAACTAAATCCGCAAACATTATTTGCTTCTAACTGTTTGAGTTGCCGACATCTCTTCTGTTAGTTAGGTAAGCTCATAAAAAAAAACCGGAAAACAAATACTTTTCTCTCTTTGAATGCTGATAACATGTGTCAGTTGTACTCTTGGCGCCATGTTTTATTTACTTTTAGACGACTGGTGACGACAGGAAAATGTCTGCATGTTTTATGACAATTTTGTGCTCGTAGGATTACGGCCTATTATATGCTATGTAAAAAAAATTGTAATATTTGCCTTTACTTGTGCATTATAAGGTTTAGGTATGATGAAAGAAGTGGAAATTTCATTATAATGTCAGTAAAAAGTTGAAAGGATTAAAATGTTGTATCTCAAACGTTCGTTTTGCTGCTGTCACTTGGTCTTATTGCAAGACATATATATATATAGTCTGTAAAGTATTATTTAATTAAAAATATGATTATATAGGCCATTAATCACGCACAATGTAAGAAATGTTGTTACCGGTCAAATAAACGTTGTTTGTTTTCTGTTCAACAGTTATAGGTCCTTGAACCACAGTAAAATAAAAAGCAAACAAAAACTACGTAAATATTAATTGTGTGAAAGAGGGTTATGGCAAGCTAGAGATTCCGTAGTACAAAACAAAAATAGCATGTTGGAATTATTGTCGGGTAGCATGTTTCTCTTCCCCCCTCCCTCCCAAGATTTATAGTGGTTGTCCTTCTTGTTCGTTGTCGGATTCCTATCATACCAAATGAGGTTCTTGAGTGTTTCAGCGTATTTAAAGAGTGCTTTGAACTAGGGCATCAAAATCTAACCCATTCATCAGTTAACATTGCATTAAGCCGGTAAAAATGTCACGTGACTTCACTTGGCAGACGACACAGGTGTATCCCATTGACAGAGTCTGCCGCTACCTCTCTGGCCCTCTTCAAGTTTGTTTTTTCTTCTTCTTTTGCAAAGTATGTTTGCGTGTCATTTTCTTTGGCGTACCTGCAACTTTTATCCTTCATATTTCAAAGTTTGTAGTGGTCAAAGGTGATAACCTCTTTATAGAGAAAAAAAGTCGGCGTGTTTTGCACACTCACAAAGCCCACGTGGGCGACATTAATGGGCGCCTACTATTTACCTAGACAACCATTCAAACCATCCTCTTGGAGCCTCAACGTTTTCTAGGCACCGTGCCTATCTCTCTTTCCATAGAAGGCCTTTGTGCATTGAAGTGTGTACACAGAAACTTTCGCAACTTTCATAATATCTGGACAACATAAAAAAAAAACATCAAAAAACTTATAAGTAAAAAAGAAAAGAGGCGGAATAGGATACAAGAGGGGATAAACATCAGAAGACTAAAATTATGAAATCTTATTTTTGTTTAATATAAAGAGAGTAACAATATCATTCTAAAATATTGTTCTGGAGGTATTGAGAAAACGTATGAATATATAACCTGATTAATAAACAACACTAATTGGATCACTGTGAATTTCACATTGACTTAGAATTCACTAAATGACTTGCGCTAAGTTCTTTTATCAAGGAAACTTTGACATATATTGAGTTTTATATATATTGTGAATTTTTGCTTGAGAATTATTTGACAGTCCCTCAAGTAAAAGTAGTTTAACCTCTAGGTAGGAAGGGACGTCCTAAGACTGCCCAGTGCTCAACCTGGGAGTATTACTTGAATGTAGATCGCGTTTAAATATGTTTAATAATCAAACAATTCTGTTTTTCTCAATGAGTAATGTACCTCTCATTTCTTTTTTACTGAATGTTTAACAAAAACGTACTACAGACAACCCATTTATAATTAGTAAACGCTTTTCAGCTGAAATTTAGAAACACTGAGTATTTTATAATTAAAAGTGTACTTTGTATTTTGTAGGTTTTTCCAAGTCGTCGTCCTGCTGCTAGTTTATCAACGTAATCTCCAGATGGTAAGTTTTTATTTTTTCTTTTTCTCGTTATGTTGCTTTGATACTTGATAACTAAATAAGATAACATCTGAAGATCTAAACATTTTCTGTGTGACGTTGCCGCCTTGGACACTCCTCTCGATTGAATTAAGGTACAAACAGCTAGTTTGAAATCAAATCGTACAAGTAATAGTTTAAAATTCTTTAGACAAAACTGATAAAAAAAAATATATAAAAGGTATGTGAACACTGCACGGTAACAAGTCACTTGTATTTTTATATCAAGGAACTGCTTTAAAAAATGACGTAAACAAAGTTGTGCACACTATGAACGCATTGTTTGCTGTACACCTACAATGCCCAAGCCCCCCTCCCTACCTCCCACCAGCAAGTTATTTTCATTTCTAGTTATTTTAAACATTTGGATTAACAATAATTTATCTGTTTGAAATATCCTGTATGGGTGAGATGATAAGATTTAAAGTATCATTATCACCTGTATTTTCTAAAAGTTCAGACATTATACGTGGACCCGGAGTAAGTTACACGAATGTTCTGTTTGTTTTGGGTTTTTTTGAGCAAAAATGAAAATGTATGATTATGAAAATATATCACAAGATCAAAGCGATTTGATGTACAAGAAGATATTGCACAGTTGGTGATTATTTATTAAAACCGGAATGATAAAGCTTTCTTATCCTTGATTCCAGTTTCTAAAGGAAGACTCAGAAACGACTTGATATAGCTAAACTAGTGTTCCATTGTATCATTACTCCCATGACAGTTTTAAGATATGTCACATCTCTAATATTAAGTATGAAAATTAAAAGCTAGGTTCAAAATGTAATTAATCTTAAGCAGAATTAGTTTCTTTGATTACAAACCAATGTTTTGTTAAACTATTTTAATTTGTAAATGCTAATCTTCGACGATCACTAGTTAACATTTTGATCAAAATGAGCAGCTTCTTGGAACTCTAGGTTTCCATTTCCCAAACACTGATCATAGCAAAATGCTGCATAAAGTTTGTGCTCAAATTAAAACAAAACAACCACTTATCATTACTTCAGGATCTTGATCTATCTTAGCTTGCGTGTTTCACAAATCAGACAGTGCGTACACGACCTTAGTCAAGGATGACACGAATTATCGTTTTTTGATTACAAGAATCGCAGGCATTCCTAAAAGCATAGAATACGAAGTATTGAGAGGCCTTGCCCTGATAAGTGAAGACCTCCCTCGAAGAAGGCTAAAAGGTGGGAGTAGATTGATGAATCTATCAGGATTAATGGCTGATTGAGCAACATACATTGTGAAAACACGTTCCATAAATGATACCAACAATTTATAATAACGGTGAGCTGAAAACATACACAAACACGCACATTTTCCCCATCATTCACCAGTAGGCAGATGATGCCGGTATTATGCCAGGTTATTTATTATCCGCGTTAGTAGGGATTTATCATACAATTCTTGCGGGACATAGGCTCTGTTGTAACGTTATCAGTTTCAATTTCTTACTCTGGGAACCAGTGACTAATTGTTACTCAAGCTCAATCTTGCTTCGTCTTTTCAGGCGTGTCATTGGCAGAGCAACTTTGATCCTCAGTTTTGTTCATCGTTTCTACTGTTTTAAGGACGGTTAATTTAACATACGACTGGGCAAACTTCTTCATTGAAACATTTTTTATTTTAGAAACTTCTGGTATATTTTAGCGTTTAGGCAGATTAATGACAGTTTTATTCCTGTATCAGTAGAATCGTTTATTCAGTAAATAATTGTTACGGTCGATATCTATCTATTTTCATTAGAGCTTAGTTGACCTTCCAAGGTCTCGCCATGGGAAATAATATATATATATATTAATTTTAAGTATTAGCTGAAATATTTCATATTGTATTACATAGAGAACTGCAAGCGTGATTAAATATGTTATTCCTAGAAAAGGAGAGAAGTTATAAAGATTATTGTTTCTCAAGTTAGAGATATTTGTGTGTGTTTTTATTAATATTTTATATTATCAGCCGCGGACATATTTCTCTACCAATGATATTTACTACGATATCATAAATTGTTTATGAACAGTAAGTGTGTGTGTGTGTATAATGTTTTAGAGGATATGATTCTTTAAAACATGTAACATAACTGATATTAATATTTATGAACAGTGCTCATATGGATATAAGTTTTTAAGGCTTCAATTCAGTTCTCGCTGTTTCTAATTATCTCTGCTTCCTTCAGGTGACATGTCAAGACACAGTGAAAGGCACTTTTAGTGCTGACACATTGAATAATATGATTCTTTAAAACATGTAACATAACTGATATTAATATTTATGAACAGTGCTCATATGGATATCAGTTTTTTAAGGCTTCAATTCAGTTCTCGCTGTTTCTAATTATCTCTGCTTCCTTCAGGTGACATGTCAAGACACAGTGAAAGGCACTTTTAGTGCTGACACATTGAATAATATAATTCGGCACCAAGGGAAGCATGGTGTTGAACGGGAACAGAAACTGTACCATTCATGTTCGAAGCAATTTATGCAGTTATTCCCGAGGAAGAGAGGACATCGTTATGGTGTTGACGCCGTTGGATCGCGAAATTCTCCATTTAGTAAGTTAACCATGAAATGTTAGTTTTACCTTTATCAAAACATATTAGTGCTAAGAGAAATATATTTTTGTATCAAATAATATTTTGTATTTCATGATCCAAGTGAAGAAACTAAGGTTTTGGAGAAACCAAACTACTGGTAGCCTCTCATAAAAGATGTCCTAGTACTATTGCACAAACTTTAATTGTGAAATAGTAATTCCACCTGACAGATAACGATATTGTTGTAAAGCACCATGTAACAACTTCAATCTGTTAAACACTTTACAAAGTGATTTCACCTGACAGATAACGATACTGTTGAAAAGCACCATGTAACAACTTCAATCTGTTAAACACTTTACAATGTAATTCCACCTGACAGATAACGATACTGTTGTAAAGCACCATGTAACAACTTCACTCTGTTTAACACAAGTATTTCTCTGTAGAATATTACATCCAGTCACATAAATCGTGAAATATATCTATTTTTTACATCAAGTGATCACTACAGAAGTAGATGTGATGAAATTAAAATAATTAAGTTACTATCTGATTCATTCTATTTTAGTAAATGGTGTATAAAATTGTATTGTTAATTTCTTTTTTTCTTTGTTATGCTTTTAAGTTGGACCGAAAATAATGTTATCTTTTTCGTAATATAGTAGAATACCAGTTCTTGAGTAATTTTCCTAAGTATAAGCTTTATGATTAAATTTTTTAATACGCAATATTTAAAGGGATCATTTGTCGTGGGACAGCCATCAGGTCAAAGTTTAGCTAGGTGGGTCTGATTTAATTACACGTAATTGTTAAACAAACGATAAAAGATGTTACTAGACATGCTAAGAGAAATTATTTTTTCTGGAGTTCAAAAGGGCGAAATAGTTTGAAAATCTTAGTTATCAAGTACAAGTGTTAGTATCAAAACGAAGAAGCAGGTGCTTCAAAACACGTGGTTTCACTTATACACCTATCAGTAACATTTCAATAATATAAAGTATTCTGCTGTGATCTTCACTTGAATATGAGGATGTGTAACAAAGGTGATTACTTCAAAAAGAATATTATAGTTGATTAACTGAAACTCCGGTTTTTTGCTGGGCTATCTAAATAATAAGTTTATTTTTTTTATTTCAATAAACGTAGGACAAAATTTTCAGCAAATACTTGTAATATTATTCACAAGGTTGAAATAAAAAGTTTTCTACCTTCTTGTTTAAGAGAGAATTTAGGCAGAGGAAGCTGTACTGGATTATAAACTTTTATGGATTGTATCTGCCTGTTCAGTTGAGAACGATGTTTCGTGCTGTTAGTGCAATTTTTTATCACGTTGGCTAGCGGTCCATAAAAGTTTCCAATCCAACTTCCAGCCTTGTTATTCCCACTTTTTATCAACTGCACTATTATTATCATTATTATTACACAAAGCTTCTTTCAGATTATGATATAATCGCTATGATTAATTGTTATTTATACCTTTGAACATATATACATGTTATAACAGTTTAGTGGTTTGATATTTGAGCCATATTTATTATTATTATGGATGTTAATAAGTTATAATAATGGAAATAGTTTATTTCATAATAAGACAGAGCACAGGTTGGATAAAAAAAATAATAAAGCAATTTAAACTTTCCAAAACAATATACAGAAAGTTTGTTTGTTTTTGAATTTCGCGCAAAGCTACACAACGGTTGTCTGCGCTAGCCGTCCCTAATTTAGCAGTGTAAGACTAGAGGGAAAGCAGCTAGTCATCACCACCCACCGCCAACTCTTGGGCTATTGTTTTACCAACGAATAGTGGTATTAACCGTCACATTATAACGCCCCCACGGCTGAAAGGACGAGCATGTGTGGTGTGACAGGGATTCGAACCCGCGACCCGCAGACTGCGAGTCGAGCGCCCTAACCACCTGGCCATGCCGGGTATATACAGAAGGTCTTCTAAAGGTTGTGTAACTATACAGAACAGTATATAGAAGGTCTTCTAAAGGCTGTGTTAGTATTCATTCTCATGGACACAAATTGCTTTTTGATCTTTTTCTTTTCTTTCGTCCGCTACTGTAATCATAAGATTATGGCTGTTTTGGTACTTTTCTTGGAAACCGAAAGAGCGACCATTTTGCTTTAAGGGGAAAGTTCACGTGCTAACTTACATCCTTCATTAACATTGTATTCGCCGTTCACAGAACGAACTAAGCTATTTATACATTTTGTTTAGTGTTTACTATATCTATGTAAATTAAAGTTATGTTTGGTTTCTATACTATGAATTACCACCTGCGAACCGTAGTAAGACTCCATGATATCAGGGGACCGGGCGTGACCTGGTAGTTAGCGTGCCGTACTGTGAATATGAGGGTCTGTGGTTCGCGAAAACGCTGCAAAATCGCGCTCCTCGTTTTCGGGAAGTGGGCACGTTATAATAGTTACGGTCAAATACCACTATTCAATTAGAGTAGTCAAACAGTAGTACTGTTGACTAACTGCCTTCCCAGTAGAGTCTATCAATTGAAAATTAGGACTAACTCAGATGGCCCTTGTATAGCTTTGCGTGAATTTCCGAAACAAACGAGCGTAATGTGAATTCTTCAACTAACACTTGAGATGAAACCACTGGTAAGATTTTAATACACTCTGAATATAGTGAATGAAGTGAAAATAGTCAAATACACTAGTTTGACAGCATTTCTAACGTTAAACAAACTGCTTTATGCTACTAAATTGTCACGCCATTATTTATTGATTAATCAAAATTATTCTAAATATGTTATTAACGTCTAGATACTTCTGTTTTTCTCAGCACATGTGCTCATCAAGTCAACCGTTATCCGAAACCGTGACGGAGTTACAATTCGAAACAAGGACGGTTTCTATTTGTGTTTCAAGCAGAATGGCAAGCTTGTTGCAAGGGTAGGTATTAATTAATATTATCAACTGCTTTTTTTTTAAATTACATTGTAAGTCTAATATATTTTAGCATGGGTAACTTCTGTTTTAGCTTCCTTTTTTTTTTCTCATTGACTTCATATTGTCCGTTAGTTTTTTATTCATTCAAACCGGTAGAACTTCATCTATGTGTTCAGTATCAAACATCGTATGTTCATTTAAACCGGTAGAACTTCCTCTATATGTTCAGTATCAAACATCGTATGTTCATTCAAACCGGTAGAACTTCATCTATGTGTTCAGTATCAAACATCGTATGTTCATTTAAACCGGTAGAACTTCCTCTATATGTTCAGTATCAAACATCGTATGTTCATTTAAACCGGTAGAACTTCCTCTATATGTTCAGTATCAAACATCGTATGTTTATTGGCGTTTCCTGATGTGCGTGTGTGTGCGATATTTATCTCAACCACTTGCTTTGTATCAACAAATAATAACTAAAAGAGTATTTGAATCAAGCTTGAAACGCGTCGTCGTTTAGCGAGCCGATGATTAATGAAATGTTTGTGAACTCTTTTTCATTTCACTTCTGATTGTGGCCAAAGTAAAGAGAAACATTGTGAAACCTGGTCTCAACTTGAAAAATGTTATTCTGAATTGAAAACTTACATGATACTAGGTTTTGTAAGCCTTATCGTCCATCTGCACCTGGCCCGTTAGTCTCACAGGATTGATTTGACGGGGGAAAAGCCGTCCCCATAAACCTGATCGCCATTTTCTTCTTGCCTTCAGCAAGGACTCGTTGAAGACCACCTAACTTTCTATGCTTAACTCCACTAAAGTATTGGACGTGCTTTGCGCCGTTCCCGAGCGATTAAAGCGTGAGCGCCGTTTCACAAAAGAGGAATGTATGTTTGCTGTCGGTGAAGAGGACGGGGCGTGATCTGTCAGGTTCAAAGTGAGGTTGTCACTGAAGACATCTTACTTTGTCTCCGGGCTTCTGGACGGCCTACCTGGCCAAAAGGTATTCACATTAGGCCCAGATTAGGCTTCTCTTGGAAGCAAGTGCCCCAGGCCTGGCTGTATCATTCACCGTAAGCAATTCATTTCTCAGAAACAGTGGCTGACAGGTAGAGAGCTGTAGCAGACTTCGGCTGTTTGGATAGAATTATATGTGAATAACCTCTCCCACACTCTTGCTCCAAATCATTGTATTGAACGGACTCTCTTGTGGACTAACAAAACGTTATAAAGGGTGTTAACTTCATCTTATTCCCTTGAGATGTTTAGCTTGTGTGAGTTTGAACAAACACATGAAAAAGTGCCTAACAAATGACGTAAGAAATCGAGTTTATATACTAAACAAACTTAATTATTGCCCTTTTGTGACCTAGCTGTCTTTTAAAAATTACTACGATTTTCATTTATTTGAAACAGCAACCGTAGAAATAGTTTATTGAACTTTGTTATACTTTGATTTATAGGAGTTATTTTAAGCAAATATAAATTTGTTTGTTATCATCGTGGTGTTTAGTATATAAAAATAATTGTAACGCGCATTAGTTGTGTTATTATCTTAAATCGTCTCAGGATGGTGTGGCACAGTCTCGAGATAAAATGTGAGCGTCCTCACTTCTCTGAGACAGACGGCGTGTCCTGTTAATAATACGTGTAATGCACATTGAATAACCACATATTTGGTTTCAGTTTTTTATTGTTTTAGCAGAACTGTTGTTGCAATGCCTGTGCTAAAGCTAGAGCACATGATGTACAAGCTAGATTATCAGCAAACATTTTTTAATTTCTTCATTAATGTTGTTACATTTTTATCACATAGCTTATAATAGTATCTTTTTGGCGAAACTGATCATAAAAAGAAGTTATATGAACTCTGTAACTGTCTCAACATTCCTTGTTCTTGTTTGAATCTTACACAGACAGAACAAGAATCGACGAGGAAACACACATTTGAATCTGTTTCTCAACACTCCTTGTTCGTGTCAGAACAAGAATCGACGAGGAAACACACATTTGAATCTGTTTCTCAACACTCCTTGTTCGTGTTTGAATTCTACACAGACAGAACAAGAATCGACGAGGAAACACACATTTGAATCTGTTTCTCAACATTCTTTGTTCTTGTTTGAATCTTACACAGACAGAACAAGAGTTGATAATGAAACACGCATTTGAGTCTGCTTCTCAACATTCTTTGTTCTTGTTTGAATCCTACACAGACAGAACAAGAGTTGATAATGAAACACACATTTGGGTCTGTTTCTCAACATTCCTTGTTCTTGTTTGAATCCTACACAGACAGAACAAGAGTCGACGATGAGCCACACATTTGAGTCTTTGCTGGGTTGGTTTCATTCCGTTGGTAATTGAGCTGTAGTTGGTAATGTTACGATTACAGTGATTTGACTAAGAAGTAGTTACTACACCAATTAGAGTAGCAGCGAAGTAGTAATTTTCCTACCAGAGCCAGTGTTTTAGAATTTACGAACACACGAAGCACCCGAGTAGAAAAATGCACTGGTCTTTCAGGTAACAAGGACAAGTCCTACGTTGTGTGTGTTGAGGTGTGATTAAAATTATTAAAGTTGTCCATAAACAAGTTGCCAAACATGCAACATACATTTTGTCTGTGTTTTGATTTATTGTTTTAAGAAGTAGCATGAAAGAATATTTCGAGATACATCTGCTAGTGTATATATTTAAAAAATACATCAGTTCTGTAAGGATTTATTTATTTTTGCTTCAGTGTATATCATGCCAGAAAAGTAATTAATGTTCTTACGTTCTCGTGCAAACAAAATGTTTAATTAAATACTCAGTTTTAACAGTTTCCATTATTAGTTACATACTCGAACATGCACGGTGTTTAATTATATACTGAATTTTAACAGTTTCCATTGTTAGTTACATACTCGAACATGCACGGGGTTTAATTATATACTCAGTTTTAACAGTTTCCATTATTATTTACATACTCGAACATGCACGGTGTTTAATTATATACTCAATTTTAACAGTTTCCATTATTAGTTACATACTCGCACATGCACAATTTTTAATTATATACTGAGTTTTTACTGTTCCCATTATTAGTTGCATTGATATAGTATTAAAGTTCCGATTTCCTCACGGTTTTCATTTGCTCTGTTTGTGTTATTGTCGTAATAATGTATGAAACTTCGATTCCCTTACAATTTCCATTTTTTCTGTTCCCTTATAGTCTGTTAGTGACATGCAGCTTTTATTGAAGTTTCAATTCTCTCATAACTTCTGTTTCTGCTGTCTCTTATCATGAACTACAGTTTAAGATGTCATCATTTCCTCATAACTTCTGTTCATTCTTTTCGTTATCATGAACTATAGTTTAGGTGTCATCGTAAAAGCAGAAGCTTGGTCATTATTATTTTCTATGCCGAATTCTGACTAATTCTGCTGCACATGCAATGATTGGTCTTTGCTGTTAGAGCAATATAATAAAAATTAACCGTAGAAAGTATGCACTTTTCCAGTAAGATATCAAGTCATTGAACATTTAATTGTCCAAATTTCCTACAACTGATGATGGTGGATAAACATGACTGAAATTATATTAAAGACATACCAAGCTGTCCATTACTGTACTTTCAAAAGACATGTAGATCGACAAGCTATATCTATCTCTTGGTATCCCACTAAACATGAAAGCCAAAATCACCGTTTGGAATTATAAAACCAAAAGACACTGATTTTTTTTTATCAGCTTTCCAAGTCTTTGAATTTCATTCCAGAGACATGAGCGCATTTTAAACAGTTATCTATGTGTATGAAGGCAAGTTTTTAAACAGTTATCTATGTGTATGAAGGCAAGTTTTTAAACAGTTATCTATGTGTATGAAGGCAAGTTTTTAAACAGTTATCTATGTGTATGAAGGCAAGTTTTTAAACAGTTATCTATGTGTATGAAGGCAAGTTTTTTTTGTTTTTTGTTATGTACAGTGTGAGTTTGAACAAAAGTAAATGGCTGTTGGTCCAAAGGTTGTGCATAAATCATGAAAATAAAGCATACAGATTGAATAGGATGTTAACTCTTATCCGGATTTTGCGACTTCGCATGTACCTTACTTAAATTTAAATTGAGTTTACAGAAGACAAGAAACAACCCAGGTCGACACAGCCCATATAGCCAGCCCACTGTGTAGCTTTGTGCTTCACGACAAACAAACAAATTTTGTGATATATGGGGCGTAATTTCTATTTCGTAAATATCACGCTAGATAAACAACTCAAATAAATGCTGATTAAATTAAACTGTACATGAGAGATTGTATTTTGCATTAAAAATGCTTTTAAGAAGCATTCACCTGCCTGTTTGAGATTGTTTACAGATGGTCATTCGATATGTCAGCGCAGATAACATAAGGAAGGCCTGCACTAACGTGTACAAGTTTCTACGTAAGGAAGATCTGAACTAACAGGTACCGGTTTTTATATAAGAAACATCTGTACTACTAGATACTGGTTTCTACGTAAGGAAGATCTGAACTAACAGATACCGTTTTCTATAAATGAAACGCCTGCACTAACAGATATTAGTGTCTACATAAGAAAGATCTGAACTAACAGGTACCGGTTTCTATATAAGAAACATCTGTACTGGTAGATACTGGTTTCTACGTAAGGAAGATCTGAACTAACAGGTACCGGTTTCTATATAAGAAACATCTGTACTGGTAGATACTGGTTTCTACGTAAGGAAGATCTGAACTAACAGGTACCGTTTTCTATATATGAAATGCCTGCACTAACAGATATTAGGTTCTACATAAGAAAGATCTGAACTAACAGGTACCGCGGTTTTTACATCTACGGAACCCGTTAAGTCTTGACAAATTAATGCAAACACGTGAGGCCCGTATGGAACCTTGAGTTAACGATGGAGTTTATATGGATCCTCATTAGCAATTTCAACACAGCTTCATCAATTATTTATGTACTAAATTACTTGTGGGTTAACGACTTTTTTGGCTATAGAGTTTCTAATAACATTAGTCACACAAAACTTTTAGACAGAAATACCATTATTATGGCAATTAATCCCAATAATTATTGCTGGTTTAATCTACCGTGTTTTACAAATAATATGTCACACAATCCTTTGTTATTTCTTTACATCGAGCGTTGTAACAGGAAAAACAAACTTACTCATTATGTGCAATATGCTGAAGCCCACCAGTGATTGATGGTATAAAACAAATAAGTATTTTGAGAATTAATGGTAGATTAAGTTTGAAATAAATCAATGAGTTTTTAGCATTTTGGATGTCATAACTGTTTATACATGAATTATTTCTTCGTTAAGACTGAAATTCAGATACGAGCAATCTGGTAGTTTACAATAACAAAGCACTGGATTGAGATAAACGTCGGCAATGGATATGGCGAATGTAGTGTGGTTGGAATACCGTAAGGGACTAGACAAAGAATATAATGTTTGAAAATATATGCCTCATATTAATGTCTTATTAAAGGTATAATTAATTGTAAATCATGCTTTGCCGGCTTGTAAAAAGCATTCACACCATAAAAAAGTTTTGTATTGTATTATATAGTAGGTCCAGTTGCTGAGGTATACATGGAGAACCTTTCTAATACCAGGTCATTTACACAACTTTTCTTTTAGGTTTTTCTGTCTCTGCAAGGAATTGTGAATGGCTTTTGTGCAAGTCTGGTGTTTCTTCAGACTCATTAATACTTAGTTTGAATGACATTATCCAGTGTTTGTGCGTATGTGTGTATAAATAACTATCATGAACTGTTTGGTGTATTCAGTACCCAGGATGGTTTGATGGCTGAGTAATAAATGGTTTGAGTTTCCAAATTGTAACTTATGTTTTCCGTTGTGAAAATTTCGCACAAAAAATATACATATATATATTTAATTTTCTTCCGTATAAGATTGTACTCAGCCTGGGAGATGCCTAATAAAATAACCATTTGTGATATTTATTCTTAAACATTTAAATGCAAATGTTACAAGAGTATAAATATTTTTTCTAATGTGAAGAATATGAATTTCATGACTTGTAATCGTTCTTATCTGCTTCCTATTATTGATAATATATTGATTGATGTTCTGCTTTTTTTTTTCAGCCTGAAGCCGATGAAAAGCTTAGATGCCTCTTTAAGGACGAAGAAACAGAAGGTTATGTTAGGTGGAGATCTCAGTGGAAGAAAAGTTGGTACATTGGCTTTGATGTACGAGGGAATCCATTGAACGGGATATATGACAATCCTAAAAGCGTACACGATCAAAGGTGTTTCAACTTCATAAAATGTTCTATAAAAAGCTGTAATCATTCAAATTTGGATCATTCTGAGTCTGCAGTTGGGCCAACTGGTAATTTTGACTGGTCAATTTTGAATGAAGATGTAAGACATAAAAGCCGAACTAAATCTATATTTAAAAGGCATTTTAGAAACAAATCTACTTGAAGTTTATTGAGTAAGAGTAAAAACTGTGTTGTAAAACGAGTCGGTAGCAGGGCTGAACAATGGAACCATCTTTCTTGTCAATCATCTTTTTACTTTTGATTCAAAGAGTGTAGTGAATCATGAAGTAAATGTTATTTTGAGGGCGTAATTTATATGGACATAATATTTTTGCTGAACTTCATTGGCTTTGTAACTATATGAGCATTTACACATTGTGATGTATCGTAAGTGAAAAAACAAAAACAGTCTATGATGCTGAGATTTCAAGCTCTTCTTTCTTCATCCGTTGTCAGGATTGTGCCCATCTTGAAATATTCCAAACGCAAAGGTGTTTCTAACAAGACCGTTCCGGTGTATTCTGATAATGTCCATATATAAAATAAATATATGGCTGGTTATTGTTGCATTCCAGAAACGGCATAATATCATCAGTCAGTTCGAAACAGCGGCTTCATATTTAATCGTACCAGTTGTGTTATGGATCTTACAGAAATCTTGTCGCATTTTCCTTTACCGTGACACTGAAATTGGATAGAACTTTTGTATAATTATTTTCGGATTGCAATTCTTTGGCTTTGATAGTTCAATATCAACGTTCTAAACATAGAAAACTGGACAATAAAGGTTTTGATCATTTAAACGCATCTTTTGATAAAAACTTCAGTTAGTATTTTTTATGAATGAAAGTTACAAATGTTAAAAAAGAAAAATACAGTTTATACGACTAAAATATAATGATTACAAACACTTTAGAATAATCTAATGCACGTGCAAAAATTATCAAAGAAAGACCGATAATAGTTTGAAACCACTTAGAAACCATAACACCTTTCTTTGTTTATTTACATGAGAATCTATGTACTTAAACATAATAATTGTTAATTCTATCTAGAAAAATTAACTCTATTAGTTAAGGTAAACATGGAACTATTTTAATGTAAAGTTCAGATTTTTACTGATTACACCTATTCATTTTATTTATGTCATTAGGTAATATAAATTGACATATGTTTTACTTTTAATAGCAACTGTGCAAAGTTGTAAAGTATCAGATGTTGATACTTTAGTCTCCATGATGTGACTGTGTTTTATTGTTGCTCAAATCATGAAAGCAGCTTATCCTATTACTATAGTGCCAAACTAGTTCGTAGTTCGTTCTAGGCTATTATGTTTTTTGTATCACTCGTATGAGGTTGCAGAGGACGTCGTCATGCCCTGACGAAACATTGTAAAGCGTTTCAAGAAGTTTACGAGTACTTGTTTATGCAGAAGGTTCCGACTTCCTTTTTATCTTAATTCGAACATTCATTCATTCACAAAACAGGGGAAACTGTTTATTACTGTGACTGTAGGGAGAGTTAGTATTTCTTTTTAAGGATTATTTGTTCTTGCATTAATTTGGATGGTTTGTCCCTAAACTCACCCACCCCCTCTTCTTGTTCTAAAATTTCAAAGAATGCCTCTTCGTAAAAAGTGCTGCAACCACAGAACGAATGATTGTGTATTTATTGTATAATATTGTCAAGAGTCACAGAAAACGCCCTTTTAGTTCTTTGTTAATGTGCAAACAAGTATTTAGGCTTAGTTCAGTTCTTCAGCCTAAGAGTGTACGTTTCGTATAATATTTATTGTTATCATTCCATTTATGAATGGTATCATTGGTGTTTCTGAGTAATGGAAAAATGCAAATCAACCAAACGTTTATAGTACAGACTGCAAAGCTATTGCAAACAGAGCTGTTTTAGTAAAGACTTTGGCGTTGTTATAGACATAGCTGTGTTTAGTGTAGACTGCAACGTTGTTACAAACAGCTGTGTTTTATACAGACTGTGAAGTTGTTACAGATTTAATTTTAACGTCTGATTTTTTTTTAAAAAGTATAAAAACTGATTTTTATCTTTGTCTTATTTACTAAACATTATAAATTAGATTTATTTAGAAATTTTTAATCATGTCATTAACCAAAAATCTTGTTGAAAACTTCCCTAACTGTTGTAGAAAATATACTAAAGTTCATGAAACTTCCGTTCATGAAGTCAAACAAATGGGACAATCGCGAATAGATCCATGCAAGTAATTAAATATTTCATTGATGTAAAATTATTTTGCATATTTTCTGTCTCGAATCTCGACTGTAAAAAATAAATAAATGATAATAATAATAATACGAATATAAGTAACAATTTTCATAGGCAAGTGAGTAAGTATCAAAGTCTATATTTGGTGAAACAAGTGTTTTTGTTCCAATATATAATGTTGGTTTGCATATATAAATGTGTGTGTTTGAACGTGTGTATGGAATATATACACCAACTTGAATATTTTTTATTAACCCCGCAGTTATAACAAAGCTGAAATACGGTACTAACTGTCAAATTGTAATATCGTGTTAACATAGAAAATTCTGTACTAAAACTTACCTTTTTTTAACCAGCTGAGAGGGATCCGTTAGTGTATTTTGTAATTCTGTTCATGGTTACTTGTACATACGCATGTAAATATTGTTGATATATTTATTCAGATGTTTTATATGAAATAAAATGGTGTCTTCTTTTCCGATATGCATGTCCCTCTTCTTCTTTCTTACATTTTTGTTATTTCGTTCTGCATGTTGTACATTCGGAAAGCGCTATCACGTTTGTTTTTAAAACCTTTAACACTTCTTTCGACTTATCAGTTAAAATGCTCGTCTCACAACGTGCGGGTGGCGGGCTCGAATCACGTCACCCTTTCAATTTTGGAGAGGGGGCGTTATAATTTGACGGTCAATTTCATTTTTTTTTGTTAAGACTCAAGTGTTAGTAGTGGGTGGTGATGACTAGCTGCCCTCCCCTAGTCTATAACTTCTAAATTGGGGACGGCTAGCGCAGATAGACCTCGAGTAACTTTGCGCGATATCCAACAAATCAAACATTTTTTTTTATTCAAATTTTCTCGTTTAGAGATATTCCCTCTTTGTTTTAAATTAATTTGATACTAACTACTCCGTGTTTAATCAGAGACTTCTTAACATAAAAACCTGCATACAAACAACTTTTAAAAAGTCGGAAATATCAACCACCATAACGGTTTACGTTATTTATCGCTTTGAATAATGCGTTGTACTAGAACTGCTGCAGTTGTCTTCGTCAATATGTCGTTGTGTTTCAGATAATAATTTTGTGCTCTATTCCAGTTTACTATTTTGAATGTTGTTCAGAAACAACAAAGAGCTGACTAATAAACACGGAATAATGCATACCATTACATATTTAAATACTACTCATAATTATATCTGTTTGTTTGTTTGTAGTCATGCACAAAGCTACACAATTGGCTATCTGTGCTCTGCCCATCACGGGTATCGAAACCCGGTTTCTAGCGTTATAAATCCGCAGACATGCCGCTGTGCCACTGGGGGGGGCAATTATATCTGAAAGTTATATATATAATCATGTCGCTTTCAACAAATAAAGTTACTTAAAAACTATATCAATTTTAATTTTCTTAAAGCAAAATTTCTTAAAACTGTGACAGTTTCAACAAATAAAAACTAAGTTATTAAAAGCTGTATCAGTTTCAAAATAATTGCTAAAAACCAATATTAATTTTATCCTCCTCCCTCCATACACACACACACACATATATATAGATATCAAATTATGACTTGTAACTAGTGTATTTCATTTTACTATCTATTAATATCCAGACTGACAGACATACATACGTTTTCAGTGTTAAAATTCACGACAATAGCTTTATAAACATGTTTCATATTTTAAAATCTAATCTACATTTAGAAAGCACAAAAAACTTATGAGTTTATGTAAAATCGAAATGCCGCATCTGTAGAGATTTATGGAATATATCAAAGACACATTCAAGCTATATAAAACCATGTTTATTTCTAAAGTTTCATGTATGAAACAATACTGCTTCAATATTAAAACAGAATATTTTATAATGTTGCATTACCTGATTTCTGCGGACTTACAACACTAGAATCCGGGTTTCGATACCCGTGGTGGGCAGAGCACAGATAGCCCATTGTGTAGCTTTGTGCTTAATTACAAATAAACCGATTCAGTTATATCAAACTCGTATAAAATATTAAAACCATGATATAACGGAAGGGAAAAAAAACTACAGAAAAACAACATTTGTGTACTGATTGAACTATTGGACGCAAGGGGAAATAAATTGTAGTTACAAGCTGAAAGAGGAACTTTCCGTTGACCATACGCGTTTCATAGTGAGCTATATTGTTTTTGTTAGTGAAAAATAGTGTACTTAGAATATTAAAATATGAAAGTATTATTTATTAGTAAAAAAATGTTGCAATATGTTAAACGTTTTGTTTATATTTTTAATAAAAGCAATGCCACAAAACAGCCAATAGAAGTTTATACTAAAAACGAAGGTTTGAGAGACTATTGAAAAAAAAAAGTTCTTGATTTTCAACTTATATACACATTTGAACGTATAATGCAATAACAGGTAAAAAAAACAAAACAAACACAACCACAATAAACTATGTTTATAAGAAAGACACTCAAGAATGTTATTCTTTAAGTTAGGATCGAATGGAAAAGAAACAGTTTACTGTGTTTGGTGGTAAGGCACCCTACCGACGAGGTAAGTGCCTTTAGGTCACTCTGCCTCATTTTACAGACCAAATGAGCCTGATTTGTCCGTCTTAAAAGGTGAATTATTCTGCTTTATTTGAGAAGTGCATTTGTGACCTTTCCGTAACAAGGTCTGCCAAAGGTAATTCTTTGCTAGGAAGGCGGAAACTTTTTTTTTCACCGCGTGAGACGTGTTTTTCTTTGCTCTTTGTTACCACGTTGTCATGGTTGATCAGAAAGAACTGCTGAGTGGTAAGGATGAATGCTTTTGTTAGAACCAACGGCCAATTGAAAGAAAATAAAGTGATTAAAAAGCCTCTATCCAGACTTTAAAACCTGCGTGTGATCTCGACGTTGCGACGTTATTGCCCTGAACCTAATTACAGAGTTGCGGTCTGTTATGGTAGGTTTAAAAATACCTTGATACAGTAAATAAATTCTCATGCCACCGTCTCAGATCCCTTCATTGCTATATTCTACAGCGTAGCACGTGGTTATGATTTTTTTATCTATGACGACTCCAATCTTAAATTAATTATTCTTGTACATACCGTGTTTCGTACAAATAGATAACACTTTACCCAAATCATTATAAAACTTTTAACTGCTAGCAATGAACTGCTCCTAGACCTGAAAAGATAACAATAAATCAATGTCGAGTCCTGAATATACTAAAAAATTCCGTTTTGATGAGATTTGAAAAAAAAAGAAAAAGCTATCTTTCAAAGATAAGTTTTCGAACTACTTTTTTTGGTGCATTACAATAAAAGGATGGTCTCGCTTCCCAAACCAAAATAATTCGTGTAAGTATTTGTTATCTTCTAAAAAACTTTAAAATGTTAGATATCAAATTTGACAAATTAATTTTATTACCGTTGTATATCATAGCATTCATTAAAGGACTATAAACACGAGAAAATGACTTAGGCTGACATTACGATTACCTGTCACGAAATCTGTGGTTCTTTAACGCTAGAAGATGAAAGATATAAAATATTTATTGATACATAGATTCGAAAGTTGTTTAACGCATGTTTCTTGCGCTAATCTTTTAAGATAATTCTTGAATTATCTGTCTACGGCATGACAACAAAATGTGGCTTAAACAATGAGAACCATGCTTGTTTCTTTAGTTAATCTTTTATATATATTCTTTAATGATCTGTCAACAGCATAAAGAGAAAATGCTAGTTAAATAATGAGAAACGTACTCTTTTTTTTTATAGTCAATCTCTTTATATATATTCTTGAATGATCCGTCTACAGCATGAAAAAAAAAAGTGAGTTAAACAATGAGAAACAAGCTTGTTTCTTTAGTTACTCTTTTCTTGGTTGATATGTTTTTGAATGATCCATTTACAGCGTGTCACAAATTGTGCGATGGACATCGAAAAACATGCTTGTGTCTTTAGCTATTCTTTTTATCTATAGTATTGATTAATTCATCGACGTGATTGTGTCTTTAGCTACCCTTCTTAGAGATATTCTGTATTGATCCGTCTACAACATGCCAATAATGTATGAGTTAAACAGTGATAAACATGCTCTGTCTTTAGTTAACTTTTTATATATGTTCTTAAATGATCCGTTTACAACATTTCATAAATGTTTTATTTAAAGAGTAAGACACGTGATTGCTTCTTTAACTACTCTCGTTGGTTGTGAGTTAAGGAATCAAAAACTTGATTATTTCTAAAGCTACTATTTTGAGATACATTCTTGAATAGTCTGTTTACAGCATGTTGCTAAAAACTGATCTAATCTTTGAGAAACGTGCCGTTACTCTTGTTTGATATGTCCTTGAATAAATCGCTTACAACATGTCAACAAAATGTGAAATGGAGACTGAGAAACTGCTATCATTAGACATCTTTTTAAATGATTAGTCTACAGCATGTCACCAAAATGAGAGTTGATGAATGACAAACGTGCTTGAATTTTACTCTTTCTAGACACGTTCTTTAATGATCCGTATATCGCATCTCACAAAAATGTAAATCGAAAAGTAAAAAACGTGATTGTTTCTTTACTTACCCTCTCTTAGATAGGCTGTTGGATGATTCGTCATGTCTTCAAAACGTGTGTTAGAGTGTGAGAAACGTTTTATTTCCTTAGTTACTCGGCTTACATGTTTCTGGATGATCAGTTTCGGCATATCACAAAAATTTGAGTTAATCAGTTAAAAACATGCTTGTCTCTTTAGCTACTCTTCTTAGATATACTATGAAAGGTTCATCTACAATATGTCACTAAAATGTGAGTTAAACGTGATTGTTTCTTTAGTTACTCTTTTCAGATATGTTCTTGAATGATCCGTTTCAGCATGTCACTAAAATTGGAGTTAAAGTGTAAGAAACGTGATTGTTTCTTTAGTTAGTCTAGTTAGAGATGTTTTTAAATGATCAATTTCAGCATGTCACTAAAATTGGAGTTAAAAAGTAAAAAACGTGATTGTTTCTTTGGTTACTCTTTTCAGATATGTTCTTGAATGATCCGTTTCAGCATGTCACTAAAATTGGAGTTAAAGTGTAAGAAACGTGATTGTTTCTTTAGTTAGTCTAGTTAGAGATGTTTTTGAATGATCCATTTCAGCATGTCACTAAAATTGGAGTTAAAAAGTAAAAAACGTGATTGTTTCTTTAGCTACTCTTGTCAGAGATGTTCTTGAATGATCCGTTTCAACATGCCACTAAAATTGGAGTTAAAGTGTAAGAAACGTGATTGTTTCTTTAGCTATTCTGTTTTATATATATATTCATGAATGATACGTTTACAACATGTCCTGAAAGTGTGGATTAAAGAGTAACAAACAAAGATTATTTTTTTAGATGTTTTTTTTTAAATATGATCTCGAATTTTCCGATTACAGCATGTCACAAAGATGTGAGTTAAATATTAATAAATATATGTTTCATTAGCTACTCTTGTTGGATACCTTCTTTGATGATTCGTCTA